TCCGTACAAATTCCAATGGAGAAAGCATTGGCTGGGTCAGGATGTGAGAGAGAAGGCATGAGACTGAGAAATGAGAGCAAAGCACAATCTCTACGGCGGAACTTAACTCCATGATTTAGCAGTTGTTGGTTTTGATGTTTGGGTGCATCTAAAAATGGTGGTTTTGGACGGAATGATAAGAGGGAAGAGAGAGTGGAGGAAGGGCTTGAGATAAGGAGCGTAACTGCCGGTGCCATGATGGAGCGTAACTGCCGGGCTTGAGATGGGTCTGTTTGTTTCCCTATCCTATTAGTCCATATTTATTTTCTTATTCTCAAAATCATAACGTAAATTATTAATCATATCGTTCATTATTCTTGCTTGTTTAGTTCATTATTCTGATACGTTTTAGAATAATAATTTAAAAAAAATAAAATTAGATGGGTATTATGATGTAGGATTTGAAAATTAACAAAAAATATCCTCTATTTTTGTTTATTTACTAAACAAAATATTAAAAATTAACAAAAATAACCCAACCCACCAATTAAATACGAACAACCAACCACCACCACCGGAGTTACCGCATCGGCACACGATCGACTAGATCTGGCCGTTCGTCTACCGATATGGCCTTTTCCGGCCAAATCTACTATTAAATCTGGTCATTAACGGCCAGATCTGGCCGCATTTGGTCATCAACGATAGCCGTATCTTGACTACAGCCAAATCTTTGGCTGTAAATCTGGCCTTTTCTGGCTATATCCATTATAGATCTGGTCGAAAAAGGCTAGATCGGCGCACTACCAACCAGATTCAGCCGGTAGTGTACCATTATACCAGATTCTGACCAACTTCCAATAGTGGTGGACGGAATCTGGTAAATGTGGATTACTGTGGTGTTTTTGTCAATTTTTAATTTTTTTTTTTAGATGTTTAATTAAATTAACAAATTTATAGGGTTTAAAAGAAGTTGAATAATATTTTGAGAATGAGAGAACTAAAGACCAATTTTCTGTTTAACTTTATTGAGAAAACCAGAATAGTATTTTAATCAATGTACCAAACGGAAACTATTTTTAATTTTTAAATCATAACTCATAATAAGCACCCAACTCTATCTAACAATAATATTTCAAAAATATTATTTCAAATAACTAAACAAACACGTTTGTTTCCCTATTTTATTCCTATACCAAATCAAAATATATATTTGTTTTCCTATTATCAAAATCATATACTAAATTATTCAACTATTTTTAATTTTCAAATCTTACCTTGTAATAACCATCCAACTCTACTTAACTAAGCAATATTATACCATTTCATCTTAAATGTCCTTCGAAACATATCCCGCTTGGCTTAAATGATACGTTCTCCAACTCCAAGCGTCTTTGATGAGGTAGAAAAATCACAAGGACGCCACAATCGCCATTTCAATAAAGAAAAAACATTGAACAGACTTTAGTTAAATTAATTCACAAAACACTTATAAATAACAATTAATAATTACAAATAAAAATTAAAAAAACATGCATCATGAAAACCCACCACTTATTCCAAGCCCTTACGCATCTCCCCTGCGTTTGGCACTCTTTCCCATTATCATATTCTAAGGCTCCGTTTGGTTCACAATTTTGTATTTTTGAGAAAAGTTTTTTGAAAAAAAGTTAAAAAAAAGTTGAATTGGACGGGTATTACGATGTAAGATTTACAAATTTAAAATACCCCCTATGTTTATTTTTTTACAAAATACCCCCTTATAATAAAATATTAAAAGTTAACAAAAACACCCCCAACCCACCCTCAAATACAGACAGCCAGCCACCACCGCCGAAGGGTAGCCGGAGTCGCCGTATCGGCGCATGACTGGCTGGATCTTGTCGTTCGTGCGCCGATATGGCCTTTTTCGGCCAGATCCACGATGGATCTGGCCGACAAAGGCTAGATTTACAGCTAAATCTGGCCGTATTTGCTATTCAACGACGGCCAACAAACGGTCGTTGACGATAACCAAGATATAGTCGTCAACGACAACCAGATCTGGCCGCATGATCGGCCAGATCCAATTGATCGTGTACCATTCCGACAGATTTCGATCACCTTCCGGTAGTGGTGGTCAACTGCTGACAATATATGGGTGGATGAGAGTGTTTTTGTCAATTTATAAACTTTTATTGTTGGAGCTAATAGTTTGGTTCTTTATTTCCTACCCTATTCCTAATCTTATTCCCAAAATAACTGTTTATTTTATTATTTAGGAAATACTATTATATTTAATTTAATTACTTTTAAACTCTTTAAGTTTATTAATTTAATTAAACACCCCAGAAAAAAGTTTAAAAATTAACAAAAACAACCTCATCCACCCATAGTTGTTAGATTTCGACAACCACCGTCATAGTGGTCGAAATCTGTCACAACGGCTTAAAAATGACCGGAACTAGCTGTTAATTTGCCAATTTGGCCGTTAGCGACGGCCAAAGAAATGGTCATCGTTGACGGTCAACGACAACCATATCTTTCCAACGACAACCATATTTTATTTTCCAAAAATATTATTCAGTATAAAATGTTATTCTAAAACACTGACCAAGAGGCTTTCCAAAAGATCTTTTTTTTCCCCTTGTTCGCGTATAGTGTAAGAGGTCTCAGTTCTCACTACTTTAGACTCAGACCCATCATTTCCCTCAACTGGCCCATAAACCCACCATGATCAGCAATTACCTACCCCACCGCATCAAATTTCAAAAATTAGGTGCATCCTATAGTTGCAAACAGTGTTTATAAATATAGAATAATATAATACATATAAAATCAAAGATCCATGTACAAATGATTGGATAGATTGTTTCACTTATCTCATCCTATAAAACAATATGAGATTGTCAAATCAATCGCAGCATAAATTACGTTGGATCCCAGTTTTAACGAATATTCAATGTTTGCTATTTCTATCCAGAGTTCTGAATTTTAAAACTTAGACTAAAGCAAGTAGAACAATTGATCCATCCAAATGGACCCCCAATTCCCAACGTGCAATGGAACAAATGCTCTGCACATTGTTCTGCATCTTTATTCTTCTGATTAAGTGATGGCATGATTACATGACACTTTCTAAGAGTATATGGGTCCATTTATTTTTTATTATTTTGAATATAATTTTGAGAATAATATTGGATAATTGAATATGAGAGTATTACAAAGTAAAATTAAAAAATTTATAAAAAAACCTATAGGTTTGCTAATTTAACTAAACAACCCAATATATAAAATTTTTATAAAATAACAAAAATACCCCCACCACCCACAATGCCAGATTCCAACCATCACCATCAGAATCTGGCCGGAAAATATCATTATGACGCGGACTGGTCGGATTTGGCGAGTAGGGCGTCGATATGGCCTTTTCTGACCAGATCCACCACGGATCTGGTCGAAAAAGGCCAGATCTACAGTCAGATCTAGCCGTCGACGACCGAAAAAGTCTAGATCTGGCCGTCAACGATGACCAAAGATATGGCCGTTAGACCTGGCTTTTTTAGCTAGATCGGTGAATTACCGGCTAGTTCCGGTCGTTTGTAAGCTGTTGTGATAGATTCCGGCTACCACTGACAATGATTGCCAGAATTTGGTAAGTATGGATGGGTGGGGATGTTTTTGTTAATTTTTAAACTTTTTTTCTGGGGATATTTAATAAAATTAATAAACTTAAGGAGTCTAAAAGTAATAAAAAATATACTAATATTTCTTAAATAACTAAACAAACAATATTTGGATAATAAGATTGAGAATATGAGTATAAATAATGTGCTAAACGCACCCTATTATATTCGCTTTTCCTTCAGCAGGCAAAGCGATAATTGGGGGTGGATTCATTTAATCATTTGCAGCAAAAGCCCAATGAATTTCATAATGAAACATCAATAATATATCCAACAAATTAAATAATCAAAACAGTGGAATCGTAGCATCCGACAACCAAAGGCAGTGGAGCAGATGGCTTTTGCATTATTCCCTATCTTTATTCGTCTCCTTAATTAATTACTTACCTATGGGAACAAGATAATACTCAAATCTTTCGCATTTGTTACGCCTTACCAAAAAAAGACATTAATTAGGCCACTATTTTATAAAGATTCTACACAAATCTTATTCCCAGCGAAATTTGCGATTGAAAGGAATTGATTGTGATTGTGATTGTCCGAGCCAGCATTCCAACAAATAACAATGACTTAGCCCCGAATTAAAAGCGAATTGTCTTGAAAATTATCATAAAAACAGTAAACCGAATGGTGCACCTCACTTTGGTGTCATTACACAGTGTCACTAGACTCATATAGCGTTGAGAAAAAACAGGAAGGAAATTCTAGTGAATTGCGTCTTGATACTCGCATTATTCTGTCGCAAGCGCAACTTTATCCACTTTTTATCTCTTTTTCCGGACTCAAAAACTTTTTAATTTCCATCATATAACCGATAGCATTACATCACCAGATATGACCTCTTTCAAAATGACATTTTTGTCTTCTTCTAAATTATCTGAGTTCACCTATTTTGTTTCTTACAAATAATTAAATATACATATTTTGATTGATATTTCAATTCATAAATCACAACCGAGGAAATTACTCAACAAGGTCATATTACTGTATATATTATCTTAATATAATGTTAATATGGTTATTGGCTACCGACTCTTCAAATGCATGTGTGTTAGGTGACAAAACATATAACAAGCTAGATTTTATTTTAAATTAAACTGAAATAAAATAATATTATTATAGACAAAAAGAAGAGAGAAAAGGGTGGTCTACGGCAACTCTCACACACACATTCACAATCCAACGTGGCACGGCATCTTGATCTCTAACCTTTCAACGGCACAACTCGTCCCACAACTTTCATTCCCACCACAAAACACCTCACCTCACTCACGCTCTCAACGTTTCTCTTCGCTCTCGTTGGCAGTGTGTTTATTCTTTTGGAACTGAAAGTTAAAAAAAAAAAAAAAAAAAAAGAAAGAAATCGCATTAGGCATTAAATTCCATTCTTATCTTTTGGCTATGGATAGTCCAATTGAAGCAACTGATTTATTAAGTTTACATAATTGTTGTTATTAGATGTCTTCTCCTCTTTCAATTACATTGCCAAGTTGTAATCGCACATTTGTTCTGGTATCCGATTCTTGTCTTTTATCATACCCGCTTACTAATCCCCAGAGATGCCTATTTAATCTCACGATGCTAATTCCTAAGAAGCCTGTTCATTTCTGCCTTTCTCTCTTCTATCCTCGTCCTTTCTTTTCTAGATTTCCGTTTCACCCCACTTTTTTCGGCTCCAAAATTGCTTTTCATAACGCCGGTTAGTACTTTTGTCACTCTATCTTTTTTATTTCTTTTCTTTTGATGGCTTAAATTTACCACTCTATAAACGTGCATTGTTTTACTGTTTGTTTGCTCTGGACTGCTCTTTTTTTTTTTTTTTTTTTTTTTTAATTATTCTTGTGTGCATACTTTGTGAACATTTAGCTCTGTGCTAGGAAAGAAGTTGTCAGGGTTTTGATTTGGTGAAATTTTGTGCGGGTTAGGCTAGTAGGTGATAGGCTATAGGTTGTTTTGGGAGCAAGAAGCTGTGGTTTAATTGAGAAATTGAATTTTTAGGTGTTTCTTGGAGCATATCTTGGAAGATTCTTAGGCTCGGAACCTAGCGTGGTGTACTCTGTGCTCTTTGGTTGGTATCTCAGGTAAGATGTTCAGTCCGTAGGAATATTTTTTTTTCTTTTTCTTTTTCCCTATCTTTATTTCCATTAACAAGAAAAGAATAAGCGTCTTGAAGTTTTTGGAATGTTGGATGAACAGTAAGAAGAAAGGCATTAGAATGAATAATGGTCACTTCACCTTAAGTATTACTTGATCAAGCACAAATCTAACTTGAGCTATCTTGCTTAGGTACCATTGTTGCTTGATGTTTTGTGAAATGAGTGAAGAATATTGTTGATCTTATAAATCTATTGCAGTAGTTAATTGCATGCACTTTGCAGAGCATGTAACAATTGTTACACGTGAAATCTGCACATTTGCATGGGCGTGAGCTGAGAGTGGTTGATGGAAATGAAATTACTCTGTTTTGTTTATTTTGTCACGGCTGAAGTGAGAAAGTTATAAATTAACTTATCCGGAATTATGGAGTTTTGTCCATTCGACGTGCAGTAATAGGAATTACATTTGTATCTTTAGCTATTAGCTCTAAGTTGTTGTTTTTGTCGTGACGTTGTTACCCGACTTTTTTGGACAATTTAGGCTTTGAATTCATGAATGTATGTTTTCGTTGTGACGTTGTTACCTGACTTTTTGGACAATTTAGGCTTTGAATTCATGAATGTATGGTTAATCAAAATCTGTTGTATACGTATATGGACTTTATGCTGTCTTAATTTAATGCTATTTTTTATCTGAAATTTACCATTAAAGCTAATAGTTGTCATTGCCAAATGAATCAGGAACTAATCAGTTGCACACTTGCTATTCGATGGACAAGGATCAAGTGACTGGTATAGGTGACAAAATATCACATTTTCAGCCCACGACCCTTACTGATGGTGGTCAAGAACCATGTATATGGTCATCTCCAGGAGGAGGACATAAGATTGATATGGGAAAACAAATCTTTTGCAACAGATCATTGAATATGAAGAACATTGTTGCTGTTGGCTTTGATATGGATTACACTCTGGCACAATACAAGCCTGAAACTTTTGAAACCCTTGCATACAATGGAACAATCAGAAAGTTGGTTTATGATTTGGGATATCCTGAGGAGGTTTGTCTGTTTCATAATTAATGCATGTATTGTGAATAATGTAAATCGAGTCACATAAATGTGTGTTAGTTCATATAACAATTTTCTCTTAGGTTAATCTAGCAAAAGCCAATTAGATCTTTTCTATCATATGATATGACTGTCATGAACTTTTATATTCACCCTTTTTATTCAGTGCTTAAAATTGGATATTGATTTTGTTGATTAAGCATGTTGATGTTTATGCAGCTGCTGGAGTGGTCATTTGATTGGAGATATATGGTTAGGGGCTTGGTTCTTGATAAAAAGAGAGGCAACATCTTGAAGGTCGATCCACAAACCATAGACTTTTACTTGGTTTTTTTCATAAATGTTTTGCTCCTTTGTCTAGCCAACTTGATGTTCATTGGTTACATAACTTCTCCTTAGTTTTTTTGAATTTAATTGGTTTGAGTTGGTGGTTGTCTATCATACAGATGGATCGCCACAAATATGTGAAAGTAGCGTATCATGGCTTTAGAGAGATGTCCAAGGAGGATAAAGTTGATGCGTATGGAAATACTCTAATACGAGATGCTTTTGATGAGCCAGACTATGCTCTCATTGACACTCTTTTTTCCCTGGCTGAAGCTTTCTTGTTTGCTCAACTTGTTGACTTTATGGATAATAATCCTGGCAAAGTCCCAAAGGGAGCTGAGTAAGAAAAACTTTTGTGCTCTCTAGTCTTTCATAATCCTCAATCTTCGGTAATGCTATTTTTAGAATTTTTTTTTGGAAATAATGGTAACTATCTTTAGGTAACATAAATGACATATAAGGTGAAATTCTTAGTTATCCTTGAAGGCATATTTTGGTCAGCATTTGTTTACCGATCAACGACTCTTGTTTTTATTCTCACAGTTTATTGACACACTCAGGGAAGGAAATTTGCACCAGTGAACTTAATACATGATTATTTGATATATATTGTTTGTTTTCTTTCTTATTATTATTCTTTGAATTATGTTCTCAGCTATGCTCGTATGTACAAAGATGTGCGTGCTGCAGTTGATTTGTGTCATCGAGATGGGACCTTAAAGCAAATGGTTGCAAAGAATCCAAAACGGTGAGGATTAAATAGGGTATCAACTTCATAGAGATGGTAACCATTTCTAAAGAGTTGTTATTCACGAGTTTTCATTTTTTTTTGAAACTATTTATTGAATAGTTTACTTTTTTTTTTTTTAATTTAAAAGAGGCATAAATCATGATATATTATACCGGTCAGCTGCCTAGTTGATAATTGACACAGTCGTTATTGGTTTCAAACTGGATTATGCGCTTGTTTACAAAGGCATATGTAGTGTTGATAGAGTGTTTCTCACTTAGATCTTATGTTGTCATCTGGTAGGTATATAAATGAGGATACCTCAATTGTGCCTATGCTGAAAATGCTCAGAGATTCTGGTCGTTCAACATTCCTAGTGACAAATAGGTATTGATTTCTCTTCATTCTGTTTTCCAAATGTCATGTTTATAGTTGGATAACAATATTACATAACGTTCATTAAATGCTTATAAATTTTTACACTGGATGCTTTATGTAAGTTTTTTTTTTTTTTTCCATATCTCAAGACCTCAGCACAGAATATTTTTTAATTGGGAAAAAGAATAATATTGGTTTCTAAGTAGTTTTACTTTGTATTAAGTAATTTTACTGTCTCCCCTTTTCTTTCTCGGTGTCATTTTCAAATTAATATCAGTTATCTGCTTGTATTTTTTACTAAGCAGAGAAAATAAACATAATATTAACCTCTTGACTAATATTTTGCAGTTTATGGGACTACACAAATATTGTGATGAACTTTCTCTGTGGATCTCGTACACTGGATGGTAGTAGTACTTGCAACTTTGATTGGCTAAAGTACTTTGATGTAGTTATCACTGGCAGGTCATCTTCTTTTGTTAGACATCCTCAACTTCTGTGTACTTTAATTTTCTCTTTTTTCCCCGTTTTATTTAAGCATGTGTTAGGTAGATGTGTTTCATATATTGCTTCACATAATGAAGGATTGCAAATTTTTAATCATTTTAAAACATCTTTAAAGTTCACTTTGTTTTTTATTATATTTGCCCCTTTTTCCTTTATACTAAAATGAATTCTCGTTAAACATTGTTCCAATTTTTGATGATTTATTGTCAAGTTCTCTTTGACCAAATTCATTTTTTTGGCTTGATGACTGCCATTTTATGATAACATCAGTAGTAGAGTTCATGTGTTCAGTCCTTAGATGTCTGACATCGAAGAAGTATCTCTTATTGCAGTGCTAAACCAGGCTTCTTCCATGAAGATAGTCGTGCCAATCTTTTTGAGGTTGAACCTGAGTCTGGAATGCTACTTAATACTGATAATGGCACACCTATGCCTCAGGTTAGTATGCTTATATCCTTTTATTCTTCTGTTACATTCATTTCACTAAATGAAGCTTATGCTTTATGAAACAGGTGGGAAGTTTTTCACCAAATTTGTTGCTGAAGGGGGAAAATAAAACATGTAGAGTTTTCCAGGTATTTTTCAGCAATATCTAAAACATAACTTAATCTAATATCATAGATCCATGTGCAACCAGGAAAGAAACAATGAAAGAAAAGATAATATATCGACTGTCAACTGCCAGATAACTTTGTAATGGAAATGGGAATAATTTAATGATTTATATGCATTTGTCGTTTTTAGGGGGGTACTGTTGGTCATCTACATAAATTGCTCTCAATTGAGTCAAGTTCACAGGTGATGCTTTATCTGATTACCTAAGTCAATATTTACCAAAGCACAATTCATCTTTTTGCCTATTTTTGTTGTTATTGCTTTATCAGCTGACTTGAAATGGTAATAGAAATTTATCGTACCATTTTAGTAGGTTCTGTATGTTGGAGATCATATCTATGGAGATATATTACGCAGCAAAAAGGTTCTTGGTATGACATTTTAATCTTTCTTTTTTTGTAGTGACAACTTTTGAATTTTTACTATATTGTCTCTTCCTGTTAACAAGATCTCAGATTGGATTTTGAATGGATTTCACTAGAAACTATTTTAGCTGCTTCATATCGTCTGAGTGAAATTAGATGTGACACGTGTCCTGGCACTATCATAATTTATCTCAATAGAGTTGAGTTGATATTATTGATTTTTTTCTGCTTAATATAAGTCTACAAGCTTGGCTTTGAGAATGTGGAAAGTATATTTAGGATGCAATGCAATAAGGGGTTATTTTCTATTTCTACTGCATAATAGAGGTTTGCTTGTTGTCTTATGTCCTGCTGAGCAGGTTGGAGAACAATGCTTGTCGTTCCTGAGCTTGAGAGTGAAGTTAAGTTGCTTTGGGGATTGAGGGATATGCGTAAGGTTGAGTTTAAAAGTTCTTGCAATGATAAGATGATATGTTATCACACTTTGTTGCAATAGTAATTTGGCATTTTCTAATTTAAAGACAAAGTTCACGTGCTATGTAACTGATTATAGTGATATTATCACTGAAATCACACTTCCAAAACATTATAGAATTCATAGTAAGATAACATAATAGTTTGCCTTGCAAGATACTAGTTGCTACCTTATATCATTGTACTGTAGTTAATATTGTGCTACAGATTGTCAAAATAGTTTTGAGGGAGAGATCATGAAATATTTTTTAAAAGTTAGAGGACTATTTCTCTAGCTTAGGTTTCCATAAACTCTTTGCTGTATTGTTTGCATCAAAGGGGTAAGATTTATTATGTCCCATTTTTTTCTTTTATCCAATATTCTTTTTCAATAAATTTCCTTCTGTACTGTCAATGTTTATACAAAGAAAAAAAAAAAAAAAACCTCTTTAGGTTGATTACCTATAAAAATAGTTTGCCAATGTTGAATCAGTTGGTTTTCATTTTACAATTAAACTTACATGATGTATTTGTACAGCAACTTCGCATTTTGAGGAATAAGCGTGATCTCATTGAAGATCAAGTACATCACTTAAAATGGTCTTTAAAGTAAGCAATTTTCTAGCATGTCATTTTTTTTTTCTCCCACTGAGTGACAATATATTGTTATAGTTTTCGATGCATTTTAATATTAAATGTTCATTTCAGGTTTGATGGTATTACTGATGATGAGAAGCAGAACATATCCTGTAAAATAGATGAATTAGAGGTTGGGGTTGTCATATTAATTTTTTAATAACCCCAAAATTCTGCCAGATAAATGGTATAAATTTAACTGAATTTTTCTTCAATGGTTTGATGTTATAGTCTCAAAGGGATCAAGTGCGACTCACTCATCAAGGGGCTCAGCTGAAATGTCACCAGAAGGTAGAATTACTTGTTTTTACCTTGTGATATATGTTTCAAATATTTAGTTACTGATCTTAGCAGCCTTTGGATTAAAACAACCACCTTATGATGACCTGTTTGTTTACAAGTACAGTTTCACAATATATGGGGACAACTAATGAAGACTGGTTATCAAAACTCTCGCTTCGCTCATCAGGTGAGATTTGATCTTTTCGATATTATAACTGTTCTGCAGACTGTCAAAATTGTCTATAATACGGGTTTGTGGGTTATTTTGAAGAAACATTTTGGTCAGTTGTTGAATTGCTCATGCTAAATAGAAGAATACAAAATTGCACATAATATATATATATATATTTTTTTTTTTTTTCCCATTACTTTTCCTTCTTTGTACTTAAAAAATGTACCATAACACCGTAATTTCATGTGTTTTGGTGATTGTAGGTTGAGAGATTTGCTTGCCTTTATACTAGCCAAGTGTCCAACTTAAGCATGTACTCTCCTGACAAATATTATAGACCTNTCAAAATTGTCTATAATACGGGTTTGTGGGTTATTTTGAAGAAACATTTTGGTCAGTTGTTGAATTGCTCATGCTAAATAGAAGAATACAAAATTGCACATAATATATATATATATATTTTTTTTTTTTTTCCCATTACTTTTCCTTCTTTGTACTTAAAAAATGTACCATAACACCGTAATTTCATGTGTTTGGTGATTGTAGGTTGAGAGATTTGCTTGCCTTTATACTAGCCAAGTGTCCAACTTAAGCATGTACTCTCCTGACAAATATTATAGACCCAGTGAAGATTTCATGCCTCATGAATTCGATATTCTGCCCATTTGAAAACTGTTATCATCATGACAAGTGGATGTCTGTTGTTTGGCTCGGGGAAGCAAAAATGAAGATTTACCAAAAAGTACATGAAGAAAAAAGGAAACTAGCTTTGTATTGTCCTTAGTAATATCCTTTTGTGTAGTTTGAAGTTGCTTATAAAAAGCTTACTTGAGGTAGTAGATGGTTGTAATTGCGTATGGATTATCCATGTTGACATCTTGGATATATACAGCACACTCAATTCACAACTCCTTTAATTAGGCCTCTGATGGTGGTAAAATTTTAATTTCGTTATGTACCTCTGGTTTCTCTCTCCCTTGTCTGGAGAAAATAGGAGAATTTGATTATGCCACCAATAACCATTTTTCTTTTTTTCCAAACAAAAGAGTGAGTCAATTTTTGGATTGCTGAAAGGAAGCTATATCATTATGAGGATACTGGTTTTTTATGACTGAAATAAGTTGGGAAAATTTTTACATAATCCGAAGGACCAAATAAATTTTGGATGCAACGAAAACAAACCAATTATCAATTATCCAACGAGGTACATATGATATGAATGCGTCTGGACTGAGATTAAAATTTTAGATGAAACATGGAAGTGGCCGTTTTATAATGCAACTCAATCATTAAACAGAGGAAAGATAAAACGTGCTTCGTGACAAAGAAAGCCTGATTAAATTGAGATTGTAAATGATGGATTTTTGGCTCCCCCTGAATCAATTGAACGGAACATAGGTTTGGTTTTATTGACACTGTTGTGTCTCGCATTTTATAGAAAACGGTGTTTTGCATGTGATACGGACGTCTTTACTCTTTACAGAGTTGCTGTTCTTAGCGCTGTGACTCGAACCCGGCCGGTCGTGAGTAGCTCAGGGCTCGGGTACCGATTCGAGTCAAGCCTGAGCCACCCAGTACTCGGCTCGCTGGTGAGCTACAGCCTACAAGAGCTCAAGCCTCAGAGGGGATATTTGTAATTTTTACAACTATGAGGGGGTTTCTGAATTTTTCATTTTCCCATAACTAAAACCCAAATTCAATTGAAACCCTAAAGCCAATTCCATTTCGATTCTCAAATCGCGACATACCCTCCCGATTCGCTGCGACCCCGACAACTGAGATTTTCCGCCGAGTCCGCCCACCCGACGACGCCGACGACTGAGGTACTTCCATTTTCTGCGTCTCCTTCTTCTTCTCCCGATTCTTCCTGATTCCCGAACTGTACATAATGTACATTTGTTAAGGATTTATTGTATATTTGTTGTATAATGTTTGTTGATTGTTATTTTAAGATTTTTATTTTTTGATTTTGTTCTTTTGGTTACTGGAAAAGATTTTTTTTTTTAATGTTTGGAAAAAATGCCTCACACACTGCCCCCACCTGTTTTATAAGAATTCTGATTTTTTTTGAGCTCGAACCCCATTTTTTTTTCTATCGAGCATGAGCTCCTCTGTAATTGCCAAGCCGAGCTCGAGCTCCTCAAAACTCGGCTCGGCTTGATAACACCTCAGGCCTGTTCTTGTATTTGCGCGAGTTTTCTGAAGGAGGCTTGAGTTGAGTTAGTAAGTATCCGGGGATGATGATGCGGGGATTTTTAACCCGCTCAGAGCTAACCTAATTGCCATTTGAAAAGACTGAAATAGCCTCTCGAGAGATCCAAACTCCCAAAAGAAGGGAAAATCTGTTGCTAAATTGTTCGTGGTTTTGTAGGCAATTCAGTCTTTTAATCAGAAAATAGTTCAAAATAAGATTTTGGGTTGTTTTGGATCAATTGGCCAAACAATCCGCTTCGGGAGCTCTTGTTGGCAAGTAAAACCCTAGAGGGATTCCAATAATTAAATAAATTGGAGGAGAATCACAGAAACAACGTCACATCGATTAAAGATCACTTGATCCTGTAACTTGAATCGCATATAGATAGGTACGCAATTTCACGTTCTCGCTGATATTACAGGCAAAACCGTAAGAGCTTGTCTTTGTAAACTTCTTGTAAATAAAGTGCAACTGAGCTTGTGTAGTTTCATAATTAGTAGATATGTTATTACAATTGATTACTGCTGAAAGGTTTTGTACTTGCGAAAGCTTTATTCATGATGAAATTTATGTAACATTTGCTTATTGTTGGATTAAAATAGTTTAAGTTGTCCTAAATATTTTCATAGGTTTAGCCCTTAGAAGAAAATGAGCATGTTTAATGCTGCAACGACATTCTGCAAGCGATTGAATGTTAAAGAGTTGGTTACCAGTGCTCCGGTGTATGGCAATCTTGCTGGTAATGTACACTTCATTTTGACATAACATTCACGACGGTGTCATCTCTTCATGATACTACTAGATAAATTTCGGTGATGATTATCTTGTTATTCTTAGATGGATCTGCTGGCGGATTGAGTTTGATGTTTAGGCGTTGGGCTACCAAAAGGACGGCTGGATCCACAAAGAATGGACGAGACTCAAAACCCAAGAATCTTGGGGTGAAGAAATTTGGTGGTGAGGTGAGTGAATGATTTATATGGAATTGGAAATTTCATAGTAGAGATAACTTTTGTTGTTTGTGGAGTTTTAATTGCTAATTGTGGCTGCTGATTCTATTGTGCAGAGAGTGATACCTGGAAACATTATAGTTAGACAAAGAGGAACTCGTTTTCATCCCGGAGACTATGTTGGAATGGGGAAGGATCACACCCTCTATGCCCTCAAGGAAGGACGCGTCAAATTTGAGACACACAAGCCGAGTGGCCGCAAGTGGGTGCATGTTGAACCCAAGGACGGACATGTCCTTCACCCTGTATATGCAAGCTGTTCTACACCACAACTGGAGACTGCCACTTAAAGCCGCTATGTTGTAGCTGATTCAATCAAGTTAGGTGTTTATTGTTCCCTTTTTGGACTTAGATTTAGGTGAGATTAGGAATTGAGGACAAAAATTGAAATAACCATGGGTCTTTTGACAATAGATACTGTTACTCATTACAAGAATTGCATGCTGTTTCAGTTTGGTTATTATGTGAGTTCTCTGTAATATTTACAGCATGGTTCTACTTGATATATATTCTTTTGAGGATGAGAAAGCAAGACAAGAAAATAAAAGTCAGTACTTTTGAGTGATGTTTCCATTTGTAATTAAGGGTTGGTGGGGCCTTTGGTTATCGGTGCTGATGTGCAAGTGAGTCCCAATCAAATTGTGATTAGTATATAACTGAATAGATTTTCACTTCTATATATATATATATCTCTTTTTTTAAATTAATTGAGTTGAAATGAAGATTTGAATGTAATGGAGACGCCCTTGTCCTCAAGTTATGTTCCCCTTGATCCCCAAGAATCTTTAATTTGAATAAAAGATATATATATATAAAGTTATGGCAAATAGATGTCTTTTATTCAAATTAAAGAGGGATCACGATGCAGAATAATTCTTGGGGATCAAGGGGAACATAGCCAGTGCGCTTGTTCAAGTTACAGACTTACAGTCATGGAAGGCAGTTTGCGGAAGTTGAAAAGCCTACATGTAACATTGTTTAATTCAGGAAGCATCCATGTTTGGACTCAAAATAAAATTGAATATGAATTTGGTAAAGCAGGTTGGATGTTATGATCACTAAAATCTGAATCATGAATTAAAATTCTAGTTACATTCGTTTTGGGGCGTTTGAATCCTGAATAATTTGGAACTTGAATATGCCGCAAGAAGATAACCTAATCTTTTACAATTTTACATGGAGATCTATGAGAAAGTATCAATTACAGGAAAATTTTGCAGCTTGCTTTCACAATCAACAAGCTCTAAAGCCCCCCCAAAAATTTAAAAAAATGTTTGAAAAATAGATTTTTTGCTTGTCTCATTTACACGAGCAGACTCTTCAGCCATATTCTTGCTACACTTAGTAGCATCCGACAATAGTGCCTACTCTCCTGAAAGGTTAGTAAGGAGATTCACCCTTTGATGAGACGGCAATTGATATATTTTGGGATCAAGAAACTTGCGCTGGGAAGGCACTCAGATGGGAAGCCACAATCCCAATCACCCTTTCAGTTAATGCTCGTCTTGCCTCTCCATATCTTGCACATCTACTGGTTCAGGGAAAATCTCATTTGATAACCTTTTATTTGAAGATGAGTGCTCAATTCCACCACTGCCATGAGAGCCTATTCTCCCCGACTGCTTCAGACCACTGATACCTTCTCTATTTGTGTGACCAGGAACAATTGCACTCTCTGATGAACTCTGTCGCCAACTACCAAAGAAAGCAGTACTCCACGACCGTCTAGATGAAGTTGTTCTCAGTCTTGCAGAGCTGAAACTCTCTTCTCTCACTACTTTAAAAGGGTTTTCCAATGCTTTTAGAATATATTTCATAGGGGGTCGTTTAGAAGGCTTTGGGTTTAGGCATGATCTGGCCACAATTGCCATTGCCCATACTTCTTCCAATAAATCTTCATCTACAATAAGAGATGGGTCAACAATCTTCGTCACCATTTCCTTGTCATATATACTGATGTATGGTAGTGTATGTTCCAACCACGCTCTTGTAGTAGCATCATCTGATTTGCTAATGCCAAGCTTGCCTGTTACAAGCTCAAGTAAGACTTTACCAAAGCAGTAGACATCATAAGCACAAGTCGCGGTGGATGAGCCTGTTCATCATCAAGGAAAATTATGGAAGTTAGAATTGATTTCCTTTCTATCTTAATACAACTGAAGGAAGAAAAACCTATGAAAAGCAATATACTCAAATTCCCTTGTAGTCTCTTCCTACCATTCACACAAAGCTGAACAATGATACTGGAAAATGAGACACAATTTATAAGTGGAAAATAGGCCTGCTTCAGCCAAGGATGACCTATGTATGAACCTATCCTAACATATCAACAGTAGGACAACTAATTATATCACCTGCTAGGAGCCTAGGACACTAGCCAAATGATCCATGTGTAAACTTTGAGATAACTGAAATTTATCAACAAAAACAATTCAATGGTTCTTTTGTAGGACAAGGATATATTTCACTGAAGAAAAAGTACAGGTTTACGGTCGAATTCAGTTAATTATAACCAGGTTGGGTCTACTGAGGGAGACGAACCTCAGTAAAACACAAACTGTGTGTCCATATTGACAAAAAAATTCTAAATCAACATGTATAAGAGAATTACGTACCAGAAGCACATGGGTCAGAGGCTCTGCATTTCAACAAAAGGAAAATGTTACTATAGCTCTCAATAAATAACAACTACAAATAAGAAAAAGAGCAGGTGTTGTATCATGAAATAAAAAAGGAAGAAATATTAGTACTAAACCTTTTTATTCGTTTCAATTTTTTTTTTTTTTTTTTTGTTGAATGATTCAAAATATTTACCATTCATGCAACCGTGATACCACCAAACAAAGTGAGAAGATAAACTGACTAGCGGCACTTCTAATAAGATATTATATTACATTAATTATGGCAAACTTCAGCACCAATGTGTCTTAATTATCTCTTCCTTCATCTGAATCATTTTGAATTAATTATGCACTATTAACAAATGTCTTTATATATGTAAGAACATGCTCACTGAGTTAACAATTATACAATCACTACTCAGAAGAAAATTGTAACTTGTATTCATGGACGCAACAAGTGGTATTCAGCTGTGGCGGAAAGGGTGACTCCAAGACAATTAAAAATTGCACAGAACATTATACACTCAAGAAACTAAGACATCCATATCCAGTCAATTGCATAAGTTTGGACATGGCTCGTTTGCACTATAATTGACCAACTAGGAAGCAGGGTAGAGTACAGCATGGATCAGTTCCAGCAACTCTTAAGCATCCTTGGTTGACATATTAAAGCATGTGTGCTGTCAATTACTATCTGAAGAAAGAAACTAAATATGAAGTCATGCAATCTTGATACTGAAAACTAAATACTGACAAGCCACAACAAGAATCAAAGTACAAAAACAAATCTTGGACCAAATCGTTTAATGCCAAAGAATATAGTAAATTAGAGCCACGTGTAACTCAGCATATACTGAGGTCACAAAGCTGCATAAGCTACTATTTTCTTCTGAATGCCCAAGAGGAAAAGGTTGACAAAGCTAATGGATGAATGGTACTTACTGTTTCCGTAACAATCTTGTTATCACATTTTGGTGAGAATCCCCTTCCTGAGCACGCACCTCACTCAAGCTTCCAAGTCGAACTTCAAATTTATCATCAAGAAGGATACTGCTTGCTTGAACATCTCTACATCCAACAGAAACATGGTTGGATTTAAGATTTACAATACCAAGCATAAGTTCTACAAAAGCTAGTTAATAATTATTCCAAGTTCCATGTGTGAATTATGAAATAAAGCAAACAATGGTAGGAACTGGCCCAAATTTGATTGCATATGGAAGTTCTGAAAACTATAAAAAGCTTGCTAGTATAGTTCTAGATTTGGACATGTCCACTTTCCGATATTTAGAAACACTTTTAAAAAAATTTGAAAGTAAAATATCATGTTGCAGCAGGCAGGAGTTCTACCATAATAATGGTAAGTTAAACCTTCATAATGGCTTTTAACCATCATAATCAACAAAAAACCATCCATCAAAATCAAGATAGAAGAATGATATCAAAAGCAAGTTTCCTTTTACCTGTGAACAAGGGGAGGGTTGCACTCATGATGTAGGTAGGATAGACCTTCAGCAGCTCCTATAGCAATTTTCAATCTTGTGATCCAATCTAGGGACTTTAAACTGTCATCCTCCAAACCAGTAATCCTGTACAAGGAACTAGCCAAATCTCCACATACCATATATTTGTAGACCAAAAGTTTATCAGTCTCATGCTCCAAGCATTGCCCCAAAAGTGGAACCAGTCTTGCATGCAAAACCTTGCTGAACAAATCCAACTCCATTATGTATGACTCTTTCTTGAAGGAATGCAAACTGACCTTTTTTACAACTACAGTAGTCCCACCTTCCAAAGTTCCCTTGAAAAGGTCTCCAGAATGCCCATGTTTGATGAGATTCGCAGCACTAAAACTACCACTTGCACGGAGCAATTGCTCATATGTAAATGAATCACCAACACCAGATACAATATTTGGATCCTTAGGAGGCAGTGGGCTGTCTCCTTCTGGAACAGGACCCACATTTGCAGTGCCTCTTTGATTTGCAGTACCCTGATCACACCTTCTTAGGACCAGTACCAGCAGCGTGACCAAAATCACAATGAAAACAAGCCCGCCGAGTAATCCCACTAAGATGAATATCCATCTCTTACTGCTCTTTGCCTGTTTTGATAATGGTGGCTGTGTAAGTCCTGGAACTCCAAAATCATCAAAACTCAACCCTCTCTTAGTGTAAAAAAGTCTACAATCTCCTGGACTCCTCTGATTTGCCACATCCTGAAAGCAATTTCTATCAAGAGTAACATTTCTTCTACTAAAAGACGCTGCACTGCCTTGAAAATAGTTACTTGACAAATCAATCGAACTAAACTTCACCAATGAAAAATTCAAATTTCCATATAACATATTGTTTGAGAAATTAAACACACCATTGGAGGAATTACCATCTGAACTCAAGCTTGGAAAAACACCCGTAAAGTTATTATCAGCCAAATCAAGAAGCTGCAAGCTATGCATTGACAACAATGCAACAGGAAGTGCACCATCAAATTTATTTCCACTCAAATCAACAACTTGCAACTGATCAAGACCTGAAAACATGTCCCCCGACAAGTGCCCCACTAGTCCATTTCTATCAACAAACAACTTCTCCAAACTCATCAACGCTCTCAATTTTGTAGGCAACGATCCAGATAACAAATTCTTGCTAAGATCAAGCTCAACCAATTTATCAAGATTTCTCAACTCATCAGGAATAAATCCCGTCAAACTATTATCCGATAAATCCAAGAATTGAATGCCAGAAAGTGAACCTAAACTAATTGGAATTTGCTCAGATAAATAATTTGAAGAAAGGTCAAGCCTTGTAAGTTTTCCAAGAGAGGAAATATTTGGTATGGAGCCAGTAAGTAAATTACGCGAAAGATCAAGAACTGACAATTCTTTTAATTGTCCCAATGTAGCAGGTAATCTACCAGCAAGACTGTTACCTGATAAATAAACCAAATTCACACTACTCAAATTACCCAGCGAACCTGGAATCGAACCGGAGACTGAACAAGAGCGGAGATCGAGAACCTGAAGCGCCGGAAACCGGAACCCGAACCAGTCCGGTATTGACCCGGGAAGTGAAAACCCGGACGCATTGAAAGAACGTAACTGGGTCAAGTTAGCTAAAGAGTCAACACTGAACCGGGGATTAAGCCGACCAATTCTGGTTCTTTTGAAACCCGAAATATTGATTCCGATAACGTGGCCGTTTTCGCATTGGACTCCCTTCCAGAACTTACACGGCTCCGCTTTTAACGGCCAGTCCCTACTTCTCAGCCCCAACGACGACCGGAGATCGAGCAATGCAGAGCGTTCAACGGTGGAGTTTAAAAGAACTTGCTGCGCTTGCACGCAGTGGATCAAGAACAGAAGTAAAACTGCAACCTTAAGTCGAAGTAGGCTGGCTTCCATGGTTGATAATAATAACAATAATAAAGTGAAGTTGATGCTCATGACAGTTTATGGTGGTTCATCTTGCGCTTCTTGTTCTTGTTCTTGTTCTTGGTCCTTGCAAAAACATTCAAAAGTATTAGTGGTGCAATATGTATTTTGTTGACCATATGCTCGTAAAATTAATATTCTCTTCTCTACTCTGTTTAACTGCATTTATCCACAACTAAGTTTGTTTTTCAGATTGCAGTAAATATAATTTCAGACAGCTCATCCAAAAATAAATACAAATAATAAATAAAGATTTGTTCTCAGTTAATATCCTTACCTCCAATCACGAGATTTGATTCTGTATTCGATGTGTGTTGTTCCTCGTTTAACGCCGATCCAAATGAATAATTTAACATAATGTACCCATTATTTCTCTAATGACTCTGAGAGAGGGTCAAAGTTTAACCAGGTGGTTCTAGAGATTGTGAGATTACAGTGTACCCACTGGCTCTGGTACGAGCTCTAGATTTTACATTAATGAACACAAGAGGCGTGCCCAACCGCCGGGTCTTCTGTCACTTTCACTGTCAACGGAGGCTTTTAATGAAACTTATTTTCAAGGTGGTCAAGGGCTGGGTTTCTATGGCTCGACCATAGGCAGCTATTTGGTTGGGTTTTGTGTCAGACATGGCAGAACCCCCCCTGTGTATATATGGCATGGCTAAGTCATCGGTCAACCAGATGGTATTCTCAAGTCTAGCCCTAATCTGTTTGATATAATAAGATTTTTATTATTATTAATCTACATATAAGGAAAGTAACATTCCTGTCACGTAACTATCTGGATTAAATTTACATTAAGGTTTGATTTTTCTTTATTAAAGTACGCCACTCGTTGGCTGACTTTTAATACATTTAGTATGTATTGTTACTTGACAGCATTGCATTATCAGGTTTTTAATTGAATGTATTAAAAAACAGTTGGGTATTTCATCTCATTTAATTATAGGTGGGTCGTTATCAAATTTATTCCCAACAAATTATTAGAAAAATAAATATTAAATTTTAATGCTTTACTAAGATCACCATTTCTTTGGTTCGGTTTTAAGATGATTTTAATGCGGGTATTATACATTACATTATAACACCAAGGTGGATCTACCATACATGACTAGGGGTCAACCACATAATTTAGAGTCAATTATGTAACAATAGAAAAGAGACAAAAACGATGTCGTGTCATACAGTGATTGAAAGTAATTGAATGTGACTGACGTGGCAATTTCCAACGCGTGAGCCGACGTGTACGCGTCTGTCATTGTCTTTTTTTTTTTTTTTGTATATTGCTTTTGGCTAATTATTTTTTCCCATCCTATTGACCCTGGCAAATGGGTGGGTGTACTCGCGGGTCAACGGATACCCGTACCCACGGATAGATACAAATAATACATATTTTAACCGTAAAAAATTGACCCATACTCAGCCTGTCCGTGACTTTTACGGGTGAACCGAGTACTACCCGCGGGTACCCGCAGACCCAAATTCAAAATTTAAAAAAAAAAAAAAAAACTTATGAATGACTCGCTCTTCAGTCGTCAGTCCTCTCACAGTAGCTCCACTCTCCCATTCTTTGACTTCTCTAACGGCAGCAGCAGTCACGGCAGCGGCAGCAGGTCACGGCAGCAGCAGCAGGTCACACGGCAGCAACATATCTCACTCACGGCAGCACCAGCACGGCAGCAGCAGTCCTCTCACGGCAGCACCAGCAGGGCAATAGTTAGGTTAGTGTGGTCTCTTAATTCAAACTAATCTTGTAGAGATGAATTGAAAGTTTGAAACTGAAAGAAGAAAAGACAAATCTTGCATGACGAAAAACTGCTCTGTAGGTTGTAGCTTTTACTGATTTTTTTTTTTTCTGTTTTGAAGAAGACGACTAGAGACTAAGAGTCTAAGACGAGTACCAAGACCAACTGTTAATAGTTGGTATCTGTAACCAAACACAGCGTTTTGGCAGGACAGACACTAAAACGCTACGTTTGACTTACTTAGATACAATTACAAGCACACCCTCCTTTGTTTACAACCTTGCAGATTACTCCTACATCCTATCTATATGCACCAATAATTCAACATATTTTAATGATTTGGTTGAAAAGAAAAGCAGGTGACCGAATAGATTTTGCTTGCAAAACATTGAGAAGCAGTCACATTTAAAACAAAAGAAATAATCTTTCTTTATTTGATAGGAGATACAAAAGAAAATGTTGCTTTAGGCAATTTTGAGTGGGGACCGTGGGGTACCAAATTTTGACTTTGATCTATAAATTCTAAAACTATTGGTGAAAAATTGAATGAAGAAAAGAAGCATTGATTTTTATGCTAACAAAAATTGTGTATTATTTGATGCATTTAAAGTCACTTTAAAAAATTCTCAAATTAATAATTAATCATGTTACTTCCTCAACATCCATGTTAAGTTATACAGAAAAATATAACAAAATTTTTATATATTAAATGTCACACTTATAACATATAAGTCAAACTTGTGATCAATTTGTATATATTATGATTTGTATTTGATAACCTTATAGCTATTAATGCAACTTGAATTCGTAAATTCGTAATTAATTTTTTTTTGGAGAATTGTTATGAATTATGATTGGTTATACTTATTGGAGTTGAGGGGTGTTGATTGTTGAGTTGGAAAAATAATCCTTTGGTAGGGCTGGTTTGCTGTAAAATATATAGGAGTGTTTTTATTTTTTTTGGACGAATTGTTATGAATTATGATGGTTAATAATTTAAATGTAAATACTTTGTTGTGTCCTTTAGATTGGCTTGGTATGGAGGACTCTACAGATTAGGAATGGGTCGTAAGTAGTAGCCGTAGGTCAACTTCCTTCTACTGGAGTACGTTTGTCCAAAAAGACGTAAAGTTTCAGACGTTTGTGGTCAATTACAACATATACAGAAGATAATAGGGAAGTGAGGGTAAAGTGTATGATTTGTGGTAAGTCTTATGCACAGGTAGTTCCAGTCATGGGACTAAGAATATGAGGTGCCATATGAAGGTTGTCCAAACGTACCATTACTACTAGTGTAGATCAAATGATGATGGATTGTGACATTAAATGAGACGTTTGAAGATTTCTCAAAAATTTATCGTGAGATAATGCAATAGGAATCATAAAACATAATACCCATATTCAATAGTGGAGCATGAAGGAATTAAGGAGTCCACATGTATTTGAATCATGAAGTCAAGCATTATACTAGGAACACCGCTAAGGCGGATTGCTTAAAGTATATTATAGGGAGAAGGAAAGGATTAAGCTTGCTTTAGAGGGTTTCGGGTAGAATATGCTGACTTCTGATATTTGGAGTTCTTGTACTATTGATGGGTATATTTCTTTAACGGCTCACTATGTTGTGAGAACTGGGAGTTATAGAGGTAGATTCTGAATTTTAGCCATATTCCTCCTCCACACTCGGGGGCTCCTTTGTCAGACATAGTGTATGATTTCTTAAAAGATTGGGGGATTGAAAAGAAAGTCTTCTTACATTAGACAATGCAAGAACAATGATAAAATGGAAGATATTTTAAAGAGTCAACTTTGTCTGCAAATATTTTATTATGTGATGATTCTTTTTTTCATGTGCGATGTTGTGCACATATCTTGAATCTGATAGTCTAAGAAGGGTTAAAGGTGAGTAGCGTGGCTCTGCATAAAATTCGTGAAAGTGTGAAATATGTTAAAGGAAGCGAGGCTAAAAGAATGAAGTTTGGAGAACTTGTTAAACAAATTGGTGTAATAAGTTCAAAAGGATTGTGAATGGATGTTCCCACAAGATGGAATTCCACTTATTTAATGCTTAAAAGTGCGTTTATATACCGTCGTGTGTTTGTTCATTTGACACTAATAGATCCCAATTATAAAAGTTGTCCTTCAAATGAAGATGGGATGGGGCGAGAGGATTTGCAAGTTCTTGCAACCATTTTATGAGATCACTACTCTTTTTTCTGGTTCCCAGTACCCCACAGCAAAATTGTATCTCAGAAATGTGTGAGAATTCAAGTGCGTTTATACGAAGAGATGGAAAATGAGGATGAAGTTTTTAGTACCATGGCAAGTCAAATGAAAGGAAAATTTGACAAATATTGGGATTCTTATATAGTTGTGTTAGCAATTGCAGCAATTCTGGACCCACGTTTCAAGTTTGAGTTTTGTTACAAAAAAGTTGATGACCTAGTAGTTGCAACAAGAAAGTGGAGTTGGTGCAACAGGAGTTGTATAGGCTTTTTGCTGCTTATGAGAGTCTAAGTGGCCATGAGGTTCCCACTGGAGATGGTTGCGGAAAGCTAGTAATCCTCATATCATTGGAGATGATATCTGTGTAAGTCAATACTCCCTAAATATTTTTATATTCTTGTGATTAATAAAGTTTTCTTTATTTGTAATTTTGCTTTATTAAATTTAACTATTTATGGTGCAGGAATTTGACTACTACAAGAGTGACTTAGTGCTACTGAGAAGTCTGAATTGGATACTTATTTGGGAGAGGCAAGATTTGATCGCATCAAATTTGCAATTTGGATGTCCTGGACCATGGAAGAAAAATAGTGATCGATACCCAACTTTCGATGATGGCCCGTGATGTGATGAGTATACCATAAACGATGTTGCTTCGGAACCAGTTTCAGTATTGGTAGCAAAGTGCTCAGTAAATATCGAGTTCACTTTACCGGAGAATGCAGAGTCTTTGATATGCATCAGGACATGGATTTGCTTATGAAGTAAATGTAAATTTTAAACTTATATTTCACATGTTTTAATATTTTTGTTTGTTAATATATTAGATAGTTAACTTATATCTTGTTAATTGTAGAAGATGAAATTGATGATGTTCAGCTGGTTGTGCCATTAAGTCAAGGGGGGGGAAGGAGATTGCATAATCAAGGGAGGTTTTATTTGTTTAGTGTGTTTGGTACTTTGTTAAACAATTATATACGTTTAATTATTAGTGTTTACATGTTATGTATGTTGAATGTTAAACAATTTATATGTTTAGTGTTTACTAATTAGTAATTACATATATATTTAGTGTTTATTAATTCTTATCTATATGGTGGAGTTTGATATAAATATGAAAATAATATTGAATTAATAATATTGGTGCAATCTAATCAAATTTATTAATCATCCATTTATTAATTAAATAAGTTAATAACTAATAAGTTTATATGGAAAACAGTAAAAATATGAAAAATGTAAAAAGCTGCTTCCATTTTCATGGGTGACCCGTGCCCGCATAGGCGGATACGGATCTGAAAATGTCGACCCGCAAGAATTTTTCACCCGTTGCTATCCAGACCATACCCGCCCAACCCATCCGTTTGCCAGGTCTACCATATTTCTAAATACATTTACCGCCCTGGTTTTCACCCATATTAATCATAATAAAAAAAAATAATTAAAATTTACCAAACAAACCCGATAGAATCAGTGCCTTTTTGTCCTTAAGGATCTGAATAAATGTTACCCATCAAAAAGAGAAGAAGATAATATTTAAATTGAGTAAACAGATTTTTACCTACCCATAATGGTTTAATGACACTATTTTACCTATAAACTTTTAAAATATAATTTTATTATTAAATTTATATTT